ACAATCCCCTTCAGCACTTCACACATCGGATGTTAGACATGCTCTTGCATTCTTTGTGGATAGAAGGAGCTCTTTTAGGAAAACTAACTAACTGTTTGTTATCAAGGAAACAAAAAACCTGAGTAAGTATTGTCAGAGAGACTATCCAAGTGGGTAGTTATGCTCTTGCATTCTTTGTGGATAGAAGGAAGCTCTTTTAGGAAAACTAATTAACTGTTTGTTATCAAGGAAACAAAAAATCTGAGTAAGTATTGTCAGAGAGATTATCCAAGTGGGTAGTAAAAGAAATCTCATTGTCATATGAATTAGCTAAATGCCCCTTACCTACTACCTTAAAGGGACATTCAGTTCATCATCATCATCCTAGAACTGCAGAACTGGAAGGGATCCTCTGTATCACTGAATCCAGCCCTTGTCAAGAAGACACAGTGGGGAATCAACTCTCAATCTCTGGCTCTGCAGCCAAATATCTGAGCTATCCAGCAGTTCACAGACTATGGTAGTTTCTATAGCCTTTTTGAAAGGGGTCCAATCCCACGACATTGTCAACGCTGCAACTTGGTCCCAGCCTATGACCTTTGTCAACCATTACAGGCTGCATGTTAGAGCCCAATCGGATGCATCATTCATTCATGTAGTGCTAGCTTCTATGCTTGCATGGTATCTCACCAGCCAGCGAGCTTGGGAATCACCAACATGTGTGAATCACAGAGACCACTAAGAAGAAGGGCAGGTTTCTTACACATAAATGTGATTCTTCTGAAGGTTCTAACTCATCAAAACTTTTTACAAAAACCATAGTAAAGTTTTTTTAAAAAAACATCTGAACGATACCTTTCCAGATGTAAAACCACTGACACCAGAGTGGTCCTCATCAGCGGTTTTAACCCAACTGCTAAAGCCTCCATTCAAACCTATGGCTTCAGTTTATTTCAGCCTTCTGATCTACAAAACTAGTAGTCATAACTTTAGCAAGGTTTGTAAGTGAGCTGGCTGCACTGCATTGTGACAAAACTTACAATTTCTTAAAAACAAGGTGGCTTTATTTACAGAGGTTGCATTCTTATCTAAGACAGTTTTCAATTTTCAAACAAATCAACCATTAGTATTACCTATATTTTTCCAGTGTCCTACCTGTGTCCTCCTTGGAAAAGTTACTTTATTGGCATAGATTTCCCCATAGGATTTTGCCACCATAAGAAAAATTACCTATGGTGCTCCAGGAAGGGATCTTGAGATTGGGACATATTCACTACCTTGCCTGTTTATAACTGTGGGTGTCCATCTTGGTGTGTTACTAGGAGCCCTGAGGCAGCTTCCAAAGCACAGTCTTTTCTCAGTCCTCATAGGATGACCCCCTGTGATTCTAGAGAGGGACCAGTAGCACCCTAGGCAGCAGATTATGGATATCATGAAATGTTATTCAATTTGTTGCTATTTTATTTTAACTGCCAGAAATGGGGAGAGGCATTTGTGGGATTTTTCTCATGTGCCAAAACAATGTGGCTGGATTTGGGTACTATATACAGTATACACCTTGCCTTGGATGAGTGGGGGAATTCTCTTTGCTGCTCCACCTCAGGTAGCCAAGTATCATGGGCCTATCCTGAGCCCTGTCTAAGGCAGGGGACAGAATCAGGTGACAACACAACTAGCCTCTCCATCCCAGTTCCAGGCTTTGCCATGGACAAGCAGTTCCCACACCACTGGCTGGTGTGTGTGAAGGTGGCCTTAGTCATGCAAGAGCGAGGAAACAGGTGATGTGTGACAACAAGCAGGGAGCTCCCCCTTCCCGTTCTTTTTCTTCCCCCTCCTTCTCCGCCTCTGGCTGCCACTCCATTAACTCCGCTGGGATCAGTCGATAGCAGCGGTAATTGTTCCCTGCTAAAACGCATTCCCGCTGTTTAGAAAGGCTAATCCAGAAGCTGCAAAGGTCAAGTGCTGACATTTCCCAGCGCGGTTTCTGAGGCAGAGACATTGCCACTGGGGTATGGGGGAAGGGAGCCCCAAAGGAACCAGCTCCAGGGATGGGTGCCACATTCACACAGAAAACACTTGTTATGCTCCAGTGCATCGGCCTCCCTCCTGCAGATTACTGCCCAAGTCAGGAAGTATGCCACAGCACTTAGGATGTGGAACCGAAGCATCATCTCACCTTGCTTGGAGCTGAGGATCTGATGAGGTTCACACAACAGGCCCAGAGATCAGTCTGAGCCACTGTGGCACCACACAGCTGTTAGCGAATGGCTAATTCTTCTCAGGAATCCTCTACTCTGCCCCATCCCGTAGACCTTGAAGGGGCGTTCCCTTCCCCTTTCCCTATCACCATTTGCCACAGAGCTGAAGGAACATTCAAGGTGTACTCCATACTGCAGCCAATGACCATGTTTGCCCACCAGAGCACAAAATGGCTCCCTAGTAACAGTTTGGCCAACCTAGATGCCCAGGCCAAATCAATAGCTGCCACAACACCACTGGAATGGTTTTCCTTTGAAAATACTGTATTTGCTTTTCCAGAAGGCTTGTTGCCATCTAACCTGAATCATTTGGGCCAGAAAATCCAAGGAAAATGTCTTTTAGTGATGGAAGGAAACAGCAGGAATATAAATCCTTTAACAGCACATGGTTTTGAAATTCCCCTCTCCACGGGTGACAGCTGTGGCTTCTCAGGTCCCTCTTACACTTTATGTGAATTATCACACAAACCTTGTCATACTGAGACCCTGGTGAAGGATACTATAAAGCACACCCTTCTCCTGCTCTTGGGGACCTGTAGCATTAGTCTTTAGAACGTTAAGTTTTCCCTAGCCTAATACCACCTAGATGTGATGGACCATATCATTTCCACCCAGCCCTGTTCTGGTTGGGGATAATGGAGGTAATGGTCAACACATCTGAAGGGCCCTAGTTTGGGGAGGATTGCATTAAGGCATTAGGTACAATGGGCCCTAGTTTGGGGAGGATTGCATTAAGGCATTAGGGACAATGTGGATCATTGACCCTCCTAGCTGAAGACTGTGAAACAAGGGCAAACAGTGGCAGAATTGAACTTCTGCCTAGTAATGATGCTGATGTTCCTCTCTTATACCTATTCCCAGTCTCTTCTCTACATAAGCCTTCAAAACACAGCTCAAACATTCAACCAAATAAGAACCTGAGGTTCATATACAGTACTCTGGAAACCTACACTAAGCTTAACTACCCCACATTGCATATTGCAAAGCAAAAAGCAAAGTATGCTGCTTACAGTATATACTGCCGCATAGCCCTTAAAGCACTATCTAGGTTGTTAACAATTTAATTATGCAGGCTACACATTACCCCTGGCCCCATGAGCTGGATATTCAAGTTTACCTGCCTCGGAAGGACAGAAGGTTGAGTCTACCTTGAATCGGCTACCTAAATCCAAGACTGAACTCAGGTAGTGAACACAGTCTTCACTACAGTACTGCAGTTTAACTACTGTGCCATGAGGCTCCTGCCATGACTACATGATAAAAAAATTCTTTAGGGCCTTATTCAGACAAGTGATTGAGCCGACTGCTGATGTTTTGTGCAAACAAAAAACTGGAAAGTAGCCATAAGGAATCAACCACATGTGGTTGATTTATTGCTCACAGGACAGTCCAGAAAGCATATCATAACTTAAAATGCTTTTTATCCCATTCTTGTCACAGTTTAACACATTGCATCCTTCTCACCCAGGCCCTGCCTTCTCTCCCCAAGTTCCCCCACCATGTCAATAGTCTCTTCCACAGGTTAAAAGGGCAACAGCAGGTGCATTGTTTAAGAAACAAAAAACCACACCTCTGATAAGTGATCATAGTCTTTTTAAAAAGCTAAATGGAGGAGAAATTGTATCTCTGATCATTGACTGCAGCTGACAGATTTCCCTGCTCCACTGCCTGCTCCCTAAACTACACTTTGGCTTTACAACAACATGCATAACTGCCAAAGAAAGGTGGAGGGGCATTTGGGGAATACTGATGGAAATCGAAAGGCTAACCTTCTCCTCTCCAATGATGTGACCCTACTTTGCAACCCTCCAGATATCATTTGTGTTTTTCTTAAAGCCCCCATTAATGCCAATAAAGGGTATGTTTTTTAAAAAAAATCTAATTTAACACAAAAGCCAGGGCGATGGGGGAGGAGGTATCATTGCTGAGGAAAACCGGACCAGCTCTTCCCAAGGCTGTTAAGACCTCTCAGAAACCCCCCCTGTGTAATTAGATTTTTGCCACTGATGCCAGTGGTGCTATTGCAATGTGGGTTGGATTGGAGAGGGAAATGGTAGCCAACACCCATACTGATCTCTCCTTTGCCATAGCTCTGCAATCATCTAGGCTAGAGGAATCTTGGGGCCTGCAAAAACGCCATTTGGGGAGGAGCACATTGTCTTTTTCCCACCTTTGTTCTACATCCCAGACCTTCTGCGTTCCCCCGAAACAGCAGAAAACGTAACACGTTATGTAACACAGCTTACTTCCTGTGACATTTAAGTCACAGGAACTGTACACTTGAGGAAATTATTTTTCTCTTTATGTTTTCCCTCCCTTTTTTTTCTTATGTCTCTCCCTCATTTGCCCAAATAACAGATTTCTCTTTATGTTTTCCCTCCCTTTTTTTCTTCTTTTTATGTCTCTCCCTCATTTGCTGAAATAACAGAACACGGATTTTCCCCTGGTGGCATCAGTTGAGGAACTCTTCCCCCCCCCCCAAGCCAGTCTCTGAGGTTGTAGCACTGTAAATATGGAGTTAAAAGGTAAAATCTGTTTTATATCAGTAAACTTTAATATAAATGTAGGTGGGTGGGGAGAAGGTTGTAATTGAATGTTGGTTTTAAATTACTTCTGATACGGGATTAGCAGATGGCTTTGAACTTTAGGGAACTGTATGTATTTATGCTTCCTAAGCTGCTTTAGGGCCTGATAAAAAAAAGGAACGGGGAGGGGGGACCAGGATATATGTTATTTTAAAAAATTTAACCGCACCAAGCTTACCCTTCCTTAATTCCTGTTTCTCGAGTGGCATTTAGGAGGAGCTAGAGGCAAGAGCTGCTTAAGGAACAGGCCAAAAGAGCTACCGCACCTCCGCTTTCCAGGCCTTAATCCTGCGTGGTCGGAGCAGCAGGAGGGAATCGGCCTGGCAATGCGCCGGGGTGGTGGTGGGGGAAGGAGTCGCAGCGAGGCGGCTGCGCGGGCCTCCTAGAGAAGAAGAGCGGCCTTGCCACGGAAGGAAGGAAGGATTCCCTGCAAGTTTTGCAACCTTCGGCTCGCTTCCCCCGACGGCGGGGAAGAAGGGCGCGCGCTCTTGCACGCTCGCTTTCTCTCCCTCGCCTCCAAAACTCCTCAGCCGGGCCGCTGCGGCCCCTTCCAGCGTGCCGGCTCCGTTTCGCCCTTTAACTGGGTTCCCCGATCGGCCCCCTCCTTCCACCTCGCCCACCAGGCCAGGGCCCTTTCCTGTCAACTGGGTCGCCCCGCTCTGGCAACAACCCTGCTGGTCCGACTGCCTCGTCTCCTCTCGTCGGCCCCAGTGCCGAGGAAAGGAGGAGGCCTTTCGTTAAACGCGCCCCCATTAAACGAGAGCGCGTCAGCTGAGCGCCGAGCCCGCGGGACGTGGCTCAGGCAGGTCGGCGCTTGGAGCGCGGAGACCGGCGCCCCCCGAAGCCGCCCTGCAAGACTCCACAGCCATCGAAAAGGCGCGGCTTGGCCTTGGCCGGCCGAGAGCCTGCCTCGTGCGGACTGGGATCTTGCTTCCCCTTTCCGTCCAAGGCGCAGCAGCTTTGGATTTTCATTCCCCGGGGAAGCCGCTGCATTGCTCGCCGCTCGCCCTCCAGCCTTGCCCTCTTCCACCCCGATGAGGGCTAGCGGGCTTGGCAGCGCGGGAGGTGCCGGCCGCCTCCTGTTCCGGCTACGAGCCGCCTACGCCTGATTCCCCTTGGGGCCACCGTGACCCAGCAGGAGGCCTTTTCTTTCCCCGACCGCATTCTGTCCCCCCCCCCCGGCTTTATCAAGTGCCTTCCGGGATGCTGGGCTATCCCTTCCGACGACCCTTTAATTGGGCTCCTTGTCTTGGCCTCCAAATTGGCGCAGCAGCAGGCGCCGCACACTAAATCACTGGGCAGAGGACAGTTTGTCCAGGCAGAGACGGATGCCCCCCCCGCCTGCTGTCATGGCAACGGCCCTCTCCCAGCCAGCGGGGCCAATGCAGGAACATCGATCAGGGGGCGCCGGGGCGATCATCTCCCGTAAACCACGGTTACCGATGATTTTCCACGCGCAGGCCCGTTTCATCATCACTACCAAGAGCAGATGCGAACTCTCTGGGAGCCAGAGATTTAGAAAGCCTCAGTTCCCAACTCCATCTTCTCCAGTGAGAGAGAGAGAGGTCTTCCCCTGGCCGGGAAATAAGATGCGGGAGCTCTGTGTCGCCCGCTTCCCCTGAGTTTGGGATGTACTCTTTCTCATTGCCAACTGCTCTCTGGGCAGGGATTCCCTGCCAGGCCCCAAAGGGTTAAACTCGTTTGCATTCCGAGCTACGCGCCAGCCGGGAATTGCACTTTTATCGGCCTGCAGTGGCGGCGAGGCTGAATTGGGCTTGGGAACTCTATTTGTGAGCGAGGAGCGCGAGCGCCCCAATTATTCCTGGGGAGATAAACGCAGTGGCTGGTGCCTCATTAACATTCCCCAGCCCAGGCAGCCTTAGACGGAGCTCGCTGGTGCGGCGTATATTGATAAAAGAAAGCAGCTGGGAGACGCAGCCTTCGCCATGCTCCGAGCTATGTAAACACGCGCGCTCAAACAACAAACCCACAAGGATTAGGCCCCGCACACGCAGGCACCTCTGCTGCCCAGCCACTTTAGGTGCACACCACACACAGTGCATGCACAGAGGCCTGGGAGAGGTGTAAGGGATGGAATGGTTCCAAATTGCCATGCACCTGCATGCCAGTGTGCCTGGGGCTCCAGACAATGCTGCTGTTAGGCTTTATCATGTTTGTTTGTTTAATTTATATGCCGCCCACACTACCCAAAGGTCTCTGGGCGGCTTGAGGCAGAAGTTCAGAGCTTCACCTAACAGAAGAAGTAAGGCCTCCAAACAGCTGAAATGCATGTTACCACCTAGAGCAGGGGCAGCAATGTGCTGCCTTCCAGATGTTGTGGACCTCAGTTCTCCTCTGCCCTGGATGGGATAGATGAAGATGACGGATGCTGGGAGCTGGAGTCCAAAGCCATATATTCCCCACCCTTGCTCCAAAGAGGGACTTCCTATATGAACATTACATTGCAGACATCCAGTGTCTAGAATGAATTGACTGCTGGCTCTGTGTTTCTGAAACTATGGTGCTCAATGCATTAATTGCTAACTAAACAACTGTATGGTGTCCTGCGTGTTCTTCACCTCAGCATCTCCCTTGGCCCCTTGTGCCAATTGCCTCTTTGCCTGACAGATGTGTCTCTCCCACTTCCTATGGCTGCCTTAAAAATATTCTTATAGGTATTCTTGGGACAGAATTCAGAGGAAGAAGCTCTGCCTTCCCCACCTCCCTGCCCAAGTAGTAAAGTGGCTGATTGGCGTTTTCTACTGCATTCCAGATAGATCTCTTGCTAAACGTCTCCTGAACCTGTGGTGCCTTCGCTCTCTCTGATGTGGGCCTCACCTTCAGTCAGATGGACTCATGTTTTTTTCTTTTAAGCTCAAACTGAAGATGGAAACCCAAGGGCTAGTGGTATCCAGCAGCAGTGGTGGTTCTGTTGGGCTGTCTTGCTGTTACATACAGCACTGATGTTACCTGTCTGTCATGGGTTGGAGGGAAAGTTCCATCCTATGGGGAGTGGAAGGCGGGACATCAGGAGGAGGGGCTGTACTGTATATATATGTGGAGCGTGTGTGGAG